TACGGAAATACCCCTTAAATTCAGAAATCTGCTGACCCTTGCTCGCACTTCTAATAGAAACACACTAATGGTAGAAGAGATAACTGGCTTGTGGCAGCCAAGCGTTCATAGCGACGTTGCTTTTTGATCCTTCAGTGTCGGCTCTTTCAACCCTTGCTTCATTAGAATCCAAAGTCGCTTTATTCACGCATAACAATTTAATGATGATTTAAAAGTCCTATATGGAGTACTGCACTCATTTTTGACTCTTCGCTACCTTGGAAGGGGACCTCATAGCATAAAGACGCTCAGGGGTGCCAAGGGTGGGGAATGGGCAGTTATCCTGTAGTCTTTTTCCACGCCTATTCTTGAGGTACCCCCTGGTGGTTTCAAGGAGCGTCTGGAATTGAAATAGGCGAAAAAAAAATTCCAGGTTGAGGCTCAATTCAGTCAGTTTTGATGGAAGCAGGACTGATGAAACGCGAGCATGGACAATAGCATTTCCTTGCTTGGTTGCAAGGTAAAACACCACTGCCTTGCCCTTGGTCTGGAAGGTTAACAGGGGTGGGTCTTTTACCAGAGAGCAATGCAGGTGGTCCAGGGCGTCCTTGGCAAAAATCGCCAACCGCAAGGTGTCCACATTCACATCTTGTTTTGTTGCATGGGTGCCTTTCAACTCGCCGAAGTAGATCTCTTTGCTATCAGGAGTGCAGCCAACAACATCTGGCTGCCGGGAGGAGCCATGCTGACCAAGCCCTTGCTTTCGCTCTTGGCCATGTGCAGTGGTGAAGTTGGCACTAAAAATGAGATCTTTTTTTAGAAAACGATATTTAAAAAAAGCTAGGCGTGGACATAATGAAACCAGGTATGTTACCTTGTGAACTTGACTTCGTGCTGGATCTGGAGAACTTCCTCCAGAATCGGGCCAACCATCGCCATCGCACAATCTGCCTCACTTCGTAATTTCGACCACGTATTGAATTTCCTGAAGACATGTAAAGCCATGAACAGGACAGGGAGGATATTCTTGGCCTTACAATCCCCGTACGCCGCCATAATCGAATCAATGACTGGTGTTGTGTCCAGTGTGCTTTCAGCTCCTTGATCAGCAGCTAGGCTGGCAGACAGCTCAGTCGAAGACCATAACTACAAGCCAAGAAGAACGGGTGTTCAGTTTAGATTGAGAGGCACAAAAAAACAAACAAAAACAAAAAGGGCTAATCTTACCTCACACCAGGTTACCCAGTGGTCTCGTGCTGCTTGTGCTCGCTTCAGGTCCTCCTCCTGCTGTGCATTTGTATAAAATGTCTGGAGCACATCCCGACGGATTTGCAAAATCTCAACCTTGGAGAGATGTGCATGCTCCTCGTCGACATGAAGCACTCCTGACAATACCCTACCGACAAAAAAAAGTGTTAGACTTTGCCAATGTCTAAACTACCATTAAACTCCTAGTAAGGCAAGAATACATACGCTATCTCGTTCAAGTCTCGGAAGGTCAGAGCTGCCTTCTGCCTTGTCGCATCATAGATCCTGGTCATTTGTGGCCCCCAGTCCTTCCCACCAAGAGGAAGATTGAAGGTGTAGTCCGGACGGTTGCAGTTACGAGGAAGTTGCTTTCCGTCATGAAGTATTTGCAAAAGATATTCCCGATGCTGATGCTCAGTTGCACTGGTAAAAACGCTATCGGAGTCATCCCTGTGGTGCTGGTTTGCTACGGTAGTGAGGACTGGCTCTTCGTCTTCATCTTTATCTTCCAATGGCAACACAAAAGGCCGGACCGGGCTAGCTGGCTCCGAGAGTGTTGGTGATTGAAGTGGTGTGCGGAGAAGGTCAGAGGACGGGCGTGACTCATCAGATGGATCTAAGAGTGAAAGTGGCAAAAACATAGAATGAGAAGGGAATGATAGCACCAGATCTTCTAGACAGACCGATATGGCGCACTATCATTTCAAAAATGCACTCATATGCATTACAAGCAGACTTTGGTGATGCCTCCTCCAGTCCGCTTACGAGATCGCGTGGATGCCTCTGCCCAGCTAGTAGAGTGATGTCAAAGGTACCTTAGTCAATGAATAACCAACGCAAGACTCTCCAGACCAATCGGTATATGGCAAGTTTGTTTACCTGCTCCCGAAACGTATGACGAATGTAAAGAGTCTTGGCCGAGCATATGGTCCAGAGGCCAGGCTGCAGCAGGAACATTGGTGCGTTCTACCATTCGAGTCTTCTGTCGCGGCATAAGAAAGTTGGTACCAGAACTTGCTGATGCTTCATTTATCTCATCTAAATAGACCATATGTCGGAGAGTTGTAAATTAACAAGACAGACTATGCTCTTTGCATTCACCAAATATTTGCTAGCTTCAGTTAATTAACCTACCAGCGATATTGCTCATCTCTCGCTCGAACTCTTCCCGGACACGCTTGTTCCAAAGTGAATCAACGACTGCTTGAACTTCCAGAGTTCCTTTATCGAGTCCACGCTTCCGCTTGACTTTGGACCAGAACACGTCTGCATCATCGGAATGGGTCTTGTTCTTCCACTGCTTTTTCAAGGATATAGCCTTCTTCTGAAGGCCTTTGTGGCTACTGGACATTAGCCGGTCAATAGCTTCATTCCACTGTGCCTCACATTGGTCCTTCGTTAAACGTTGACTCTCCGAAAATTTGAGAAAATCAATGTAGCTGAAATCGGCAATTGTCCCGCAGCTCTCCAAATAACAGCGCGCCGACAAATTTCCCAGGAAGGATTTCCACGATCCTGCTGTCGATCGCTTCGCCTTTTCTTCCGTGGCCATAGTGAGCTGGAGCCTATGAATATAGATAATGATGGTAAAATGATAAATTGAATATAGTAAGGCTCCATCGTCAATCCGAATGACTATCCAAATTTAGATACGCTCCATTCAAGAACCCTCTGCTGGAGCGTTAATGAAAATCCAGGATCCCAAAGCATGCTGCCACTCATTGCTTCTAGCATAGCAAAGCTTTGAGCGGTGTCGGATGTGGCTGGAAGCAAGTTAAAGCCAATGAGCCACATCTAACGCGCGTGAGATGAAACCACACCCATCTAATACCAAAAGCAATAGATAGTCGGATGGTGCTTTACGGCTCAAGAACCCTCTGCTGGAGCGTTAATGAGATTCCAGGATCCCAAAGCATGCTGCCACTCATTGCTTCTAGCATAGCAAAGCTTTGAGCGGTGTCGGATGTGGCTGGAACCAAGTTAAAGCCAATGAGCCACATCTAACGCGCGTGAGATGGAACCACATCCATCCAATCAATGGATAGCAGGAATAGTGGTCAACCCCGTATATCAACGACAACGTGGCGAAAAAGACTATGGCAGGAGGATAGAAGGAATGGGAAGACGCTAATGTTCAAACCACAGTGGGCTGCGAGTGTCGGGGGTGGTGGTACCTGAAGATGAACGAGTGTCAACTCGAAAAAGGTGTGAGAGTGGTGGCAATTAAACAGAGTCAATGATTGCAGAGGCAGCCAAAGACTATGGGAAATTGATGAGAAGGGAGGGTGGACAACAACAAGTGCGGCAAGCGAGAGAAAGAGGAATGAACAAGAAAGAAAGAGAACAATGATCCAGAAGCAACAGCAGTGATTAAGAAAAGAGAATGATGAGAGAAAAGCTATGGAGAAAACAAAGAGGGAAGAGGGAAAGACGACGCGATAACCAAAGAGAAGGGTGTTGGAGAGAGTAAGGGACAACAAAGGGGAAGAGAATGATAAGAAAGGGAAAGAGAAGGACGATGATGAGTGTGGCGGGTGACGAAAAGAGAGTTGGGTATAGATGTAGTGATGAAATAGGCGTGGGGAGTGAGGATGAGGTTGCTGTGGAAGAGATGAGGTTGCTGTGGAAGAGATGAGGAGTGGAGGCAAAGGCAAGGCGAAAAAACATGCAAATGGCTGGGGGACAATGGGCGCCATAATTACGTCACCGAAGCGACTCATCATGGCATCCACTGCCCCCTACCGGCACTAATGGGTGTGGACGAACACCCTGAAATAAACTATTCTATGATTTGGACGCCTTGGACGCCTTGGCCAACTTGGACGACTTGGAGGACTTTTGGGATTGTTCCTGCTCTGGCGTTGAGGTAGTTGAAGCCCTCTTACGACGTCCTTGGACACTTGTACTGCTGATGGCGTTGCTAGCCGTGGCGGTGCTCGAGCTCGAGCTCGAGCTTGACCCATCATCGCGCTTCGCCTTCCAAGGGAGGGAGCCGTCCTCAGCAACCGGGTGGAGGTAATCCGGACGCTCCTGCCGCACAAGGTACTCTTGGATAATATTTGCCATGTTCTCTGCCGCCATGACATCGCGGTGGTGGTAGACTTGACACTTTGAGCAGTAGAAACGTCGGATGTCGACCTGGCCCACAAACAGTCCGCATCCAGGGCACTTTTTGCTTGTATAATATTCGTTGAGCCCTACCACCACGTAGCCAAGCGACCGGGCCTAAATAAAGAAATTGTACGTTAGTTATTCGCGCATATGAAGTATGCAGGGCTGTTTGCTGATTGGTGAACAACATTATAAAGCAATGATTACCTTCTGGATAAAGTAAGTAAGGAAGGATGAGTGGAGGGAAGAGAGCCCGGAACTTGTCGAGAACTGACCTAGACCCACGCCAATGAGAGCTGGTTTCGAAGGATCATAGCGGAGACCATTTCCGCCGCCCACAATCTTGAGGAGCTGATCCGCGATCAATTGGAACTCCATATGCCTTGCACGCTTCATATCCCAAACGTGACGGTTGTATCGATTGTCGCTTCCAGAATAAAAGTCCAACAAACGTGTCTCAATCAACTCCAGTTCTTCGACGTAATCGACGACGCTTGCCTTTTGTCCTTTGAGAGGAGGCAATCTAGCCTCAATGTCATGGACTGACTCGTCCTCACCATCCGGGGTCGCCTTCTTTTCGTTGTCCAACCACCTCCGGAACTGGAAATTGGGCTGATATACCGCTTTGCTTTTGACGGCGAGGTTGAAGAACACCGGCCTTGGCGATCTCATGGGCGCGCTTGTTGCTGATTCCTGTGCTGTGGCAGGGAGAGTTGGATCCTGAGCAACGGCTCCTACTGCTGGCTGTTGGTTGGCGACCATGACTCCTCCCATCGGTAAGTCGTTCTTGACAGGCTCCTTGTCTTTGGACTCGGTTGACAACTCGGTGGGCAGATGCGCGAATCCTCCAATGACGCAAGCCTGTCCTGCGTCCAAGGTCAAGGTCCTGATATCCTCGATATTTATCCCGGGCCAGAGCCGCTCAATGTCCTCCTTGCTTGTGATCAAGTGACGAATCTCTTGAAGGTAGTAGTCGGTACCTCCCACCGTGGATGTCAATCTAGGCGGCAGACGGTTCTCTGGCAAACGTCGATAACGGACATCCTGCAGTTCCCGCAGCTTAAAGGCGAGAAGCTGAACACGAAAACCGTCAGTCCTAATGGAACCCCTCAACAAGTATCCTCGTTCCTTGTATTGCGACGGGTCGAGGTGCTTGTCCTTGACAACATCCAGGTGAGCTCCAATCTCGTTCAATGACAACAGCCTTACAGCTGCTCGGTGACCGGCCTTTTTCCGCTGGCGACTCGTTAGACCTTGGGGCGCCACGTCACAGATGAAGTGCTTTATGATGTACCCGGGCTCCTTCCCACCAATCCATGTCTCGAGATCGGTCGTAGACGTTATCTGGGTATGGTCCTGGCGACCCAATTCTTCCAGTCTCTCCCTTAACGGCTTCCGCTTCCAAAAGAATAAGGCAAGCTCCCGTTCAGAGAAGCTTACAAAGGGTTGCTGTGAAGTGGTGAATGGCGCGATCTTGCGGCTTTTGTTGGTGAGCTTGTTAAGGTGGAGAAAGTTCTCAGCCGCTGAAATTTCCTCTCGAATCCGAATGTCGACGGTCGTTCCCAGAGTCCCCTTCTTCTTCATAACCTCAGCCTAAAAAGAAGGGAAAAAAAACATTAATATTACATTTTTTTTTTTGAAAGACAAGTGTCTCAAAACATAGTACCAACAGTACAAAAGCATCTCATTGCATACCTTCTTGTAGAGATCAAATGTCCCATTCCTGTATATTTTCTTGAGTTCCAAGGCCAATTGGCCAGAGACCGATCGCACCAAATTGTTGGGAGTAAAGTGCATTTGAACATTGATCTCGCCGCGCGACCGAGGTGGGTTGTACAACTTTCGGTCCATAAGCCAATCGATGAAGGTGTTGACGGTGGGGATGACTCCAATGTCCTTGGTAAGGGATTCCACTGTTTTGTTCTTCATTTCGGGATAGTTTCCCGAATACAGAAACACGAGAAAGGACTGGAGAAAACGGACTTGTTCTCCTCCGTCTTTGTCATCGATGTCGCCGTTGTCCTCACCGTTCTTCGTCTCGCGATCACCCTCATTCTCGCCATTGTCCTCTTCGGGCTTGATACGTTCGCAGAGGTGGTCAAGAATCCTGCGCTCGTCATCCGATATGGCATCTCTCCTAGCCTCGGCCAGCTTCCTGACCAGATCTGCCTCGGTGATAGACTCCGTAGTGGACCGAAGCTTGTTTATGAACCTCAATTCGGCAGCATCCATCTCCTTGTTCATGGTCTCGACAAACTGACCTACGAGTCGCTGGGCCTCCCGTTTGACACCAGCTGAAAGACGAGGAGCCTCCTGAAGACACTCCACCACGAGCCGCTGTAGATCAGGGCGGTCCAAGACGGGCGTCGAAGGTGCGGGCGTTGCTGTGGTTGGCTTGGAGGAGGCAGGCGTGGACGATGGGGTAAAAACCCTCTTGGTGTTGGCGGCCAGCGTTCCAGTCTCGAGTGTCACTGTTGGATGGTACCATGCCATAGAACGCACAAGTCCGTTCTTGCCCTTTGTACCTCGTGGCTTCTTGGTGATAGTGGAGTCCTTTTCCGCTTTGGCCTTGGATTTGTTGTCGGAGGGCTGATTGGTGGTTGTTGTAGGATGTTCCTTGTAGTGTTTTAGAACAAACTGCTTCATTTTCGGCGGAGGATCATGTACCGTTTTCCTGGTTCTTTCTTTGAACGAGAATCGGGCTCGGTTCCGGGGTATTCTGGTCCTGTTGAGAGCTGGATGACCGTCGTCTTGTTGTGCTGTAATGGAGGGTGTGTCGTGTCCCTGTGGGACAGGGGCTGCTTGTGGCGGGGGTGATTCTGAGACCAGAATGGGTGACTCCACAGTTCTGTACCGATTGAAAGACTGAGGCTTCCGCACTCGAACGATGTTCTCCTGGGGGGACCTACTTGCATCAAGCGAAAATAATAGCTGGTAAGATACACAACTCGAAATGATGCTCGATACGATGCCAACAAAAACTAATAACACATATCAAATTACCTAGATATAGTTCCTCGAGTCTGCTTCCTGAGATTGTATCTCTGCATGAGATCCTCGAAACGCTGCCGGCACGCATCAAAGACAACCTGAGAGGGCATCTGAAAAACCACAGGTTCGATCCGGGTCTGCAGCTGGTCGATAAACACTCGCATGGAGGCCTCAAAGGTTTCCTGCTGCGTGTTCCTTGTTACGACTTTGCCATCCCGTAGGTACGCCGACACGATGTCTCGAACAACTATTTCAAAAGAGAAAAGGTAGAGATTAGACACTAACATAAAGAGGTTGTGAAAGGTTCCAAATAAAAGTCATTCTTGACAAAGCTGTACCTGATCTGTGTCCAATGGCCTTGATGATGGAATAGTTGGATGCCGGACCAAGGGCGTAAATGTTCCTTTGGTAGTCATTTCTAGAGACGATGGCCAGTGCAGTTAGCTGGTTCCTGCTGAATTCGATAGTCTTGAGGACGTCCGGCATAGAGTAGACAAGAATGAGACCCTGGGAGACAGGCCGCCAAAGTGTTTGGACAGATGCATAGGCCATCATGTCGCTGTCCGAGGAGATTACAATGTCTTCCGGCTGGGCATCCCGCGCGATAGCAACATCTGCCTCCGTATTGCAAAGTATAACAGTCCAGCCGACACCTCTCATGTACTCCGCAAAGTGTTGCCGACTTGGCAAGGACCAATAGAACGCCGAAACAAGGCTCTTCCGGATGGCGATAAAGTGCTGTTTTCTGATCCTGAGATCCGCCTCCATTCGGGTTTCGAAAGTTTCCACGCCTGTCGAAAGATGGTCCAACGCCTTCATTCGGGCCGCTTCTCGAACTTGAGCCGTACTCGCCTTCTCTACTGGCTGTGGACCATCGAGGTACAGCGTCATATTGAGATGATTCCCGAATCGTTCCACTTCCTTTTGAAGCATTCTGTTGGCGACGTCCTGAGGATGACTGGAGTAGGCATAACCGATGGTGCGAAAACTAGTTCCGAGGACATCAAAACGGCGTCGTCCGGTAGTTGTGATGCTGGCGAGTATGGTGTGGTACAGCAAGACAGGGTTGTACCCCTTCCTGCGAATGAAAGGGAACCAGTCAAAGAGTCCCATGATGTTGGGCCATGTGCTTTTGGGGTTGGAAAAAAAGAATGTTGATGAGGATAGTCGGTTTGCTGAAGTAGTAAAAGTAGGAAAATGTGAGGGAGAAACAGCTTTGAGTGTGTCATTTATATGGAGAGTAGTCCAAGGCTAGAAAGTCTTGGCGTCAATTGACAGTTAAAATTTTCGATCCATATTGGGAAAGGCCCATGATTCTTTCGGCCAATGAGAGAATTATGGCGTCCATTGTCCTGCACCCATGCAAATTAGTGACGTCAACATAGTTTATTTCCTTGCATTATAGGAAATAACAATATTTCGCCACCACTCCCACGCTCTTTCACTTGTCTTTGTTTCTAACTACTTTCTTTATCACCTCTCCTTTTTGCCACCATTCCCACACCTTCATCGCCCTTACCAACTCCCTTTACCCACCACCCTCCGCGCCTCTTCCTTTCTCTGTCTCTCCCACGCGCACTCTTTCCACATCTCTTTGTTTGCTGTGCCACCCTCTCCACTCTTTTACTTCTTCTCGCCTCCATTGCCTCCACCACCCCTCTCACGCTCCCCACAACAACTTTTCCCCTTCGTCGCCTTTGCCGCCATTCCCACGCACATCGCCTTTCCCAGCACTCCCGCACCTCTTCTTCGCCTTTGCCATCACTCGATTCCTTTCTCTGTCATTCTCACACTCTTTTTTTTTTCTTTGCCACCATATGCACACCTTCATCGCCTTTGCCACCGTTCTCACGCCCTTTTCATCCCTTCTTACTTTTCCTTTTAACCCCACACCTTCTTTCATCCTTTTTCTTTTTTTTTTCTTTCACCCCTTGCCTTCACTACATCCCGCACCTTCTCCACAATCCTCAGTCTTTTCACAACCCTCACTTTTTTTTCCCTTCCCATTCTTTTCATTGATGCTTCGCAACACCATGATCAACAACCCTCTGACCCTGTTTTGTCTTGTCGATGGTGAATCAACCCCATTCCCTGTCGAGATTGACCCTACAAAGTCAATCGGTGGCCTCAAGAATCTCATCGTCAATGGGGACCAAGCTCCCGCGTTCAGGGACGTCGCTGCCAAAGACCTCATCCTCTGGCGTGTCTCAATTCCTGTCGTGCCCAAGAAGGAGCGTAAGGAAATCTCACTAGCTGACATCCCATCAAAGGAGGAGCTCGATGAGACAGACGACATCTCTGACGTCTTTGCACAGACACCACCGAAGAAGACCATTCACATCATCGTTCAGCGCCCTCCTCAAGGTAATACACACGCGTTTATTGCTTTTTGTGACTTGCTGTTTGCATCGTCGACTCTTGTCCATGCACTAACCTGAGGCACTCATCCATTTGCACCAACATAGTCCATGTACCTGTCCCTTCTCGAGCCTTGACTCCCCTCCCTGGTTCTCTTTCGGATAGTTCTCGTCCCAGTACGCCTTTGTCTGGTGAGTTCGGTCATCAACCCTTTTTTTCATTGTATTTCACTTTATTTTTCTTATACTTGACACTCATTTCTAATGGATTATCTTTCTGCCAACAGGTGACCTCCGAGCTGATATCAAAAAGATCGCGGACCGATTCTTTGCAACTGGATCTCCTGCCTCTGACTTTCTGGATGCATACGTGCGAGGCGAAAAGAGCTTACCTGTCACCACTGTTGGAGTTAAGGGGCTACCCAAAGTCCTACGGCGAGGCGTTGTTGACAGCCAGGATTCAGGACCAAGTCTTCTTTTTCTGGATTTACCAAACCCTCCGTTGAACGCGGGCGATCCGATTCCTGAGCGATTTCGGTCAAACGTTCTTTTGAGCAAGCTGGAAGGCATGCAAGCACAGGACCTCCCCGTGTTCGGCGTTTCCGTACGTACCTTGCTACTTTGGATCAACTGTACATCTATTGTACTTGCCGCAATGTTGCTTTTCGACAGACTAACAATCTCTTTCTGATATCTGGCCATCTTTTAGGGGTGCGGAAAAACTCGCTCGATGATCGAGATGCTTTGTTTGCAATGGGGATTCTACTTCAACGCGGCAAAGAAGGACCTCGGCTCCAACGATCTCAGTCAACTTGCCGAGTTCCTGGACACAAAAACATCAGAGGAACAAGGTCCCAGAATCAACACTGTCTTCGCAAGGAAAATGACTCTTGTGCTCTTCCTCTCCCGACTCTTGGTCCTCAAGTACTGCCTGCAGGTCCCCAATTGCAGACAGACATTCTCGAGTGACAGTTGGGCCATACTCCAGGTCTGTCCTCATATGTTCCGGGATGTCTTTATGGAGTTTTTCAGGAAACTCTATGATCAGATGAAAGAGCGCTTATTCTCTGTATCTGTCATGGAATCCATTGTCCGTGATGAGCTTCTCTCAGTGCGGGATAGTCTTGCTGTCCACAAGTACACCAATTTCTCAAGAGAGACGAAACTGCGGTTGGTTGTAGATGAAGCTCAAATTCTCGGCGACAAGGGCAGTACGTTATTTCAGTCGTCATTCACGGAAGACGACCTGCGACCAATGCTCAGTCCTGTACTGAATGGTCTGCGGAAGGCAGGAGACGAAAAAGAGCTCACGATCATCTACTGTGGTACGGGATTGAGTATGTGTTCGGCGTCTCTGGTATGCCACTTGCTGCAACATGCAATCTATGGATATCACCAAGAGCTTGAAGCATGGTACTGACCACATTCGTGCGTTCCTTTATGTTCACACAGGCTGTGGTAAGACCCGTGCCGTGATTGAGCTTCTGTCTCAGTACTGGGGCTTTTACTTCAACGCGTCGAGCGACGACTGGGGAAGTGGCGACATGATGACTCTCCACTCAACCATCCAAAAGCACCTGGACGATACCAAAGGATCCTTCGTTGTTGACCGGCAAGCCAACAATGCCTATGCACGCAAAATTACTCTACTGCTGTTTCTTTCTCGGCTCTTAATCTTCAAGTACTGTCTCGGTGTTCCCGGTTGCGCTGAGACGTTTTCAAGTGCAAGATGGACTCTCCTTCAAGTGTGCCCGCATGTTCTCTTCGACGACCTTTTCAACGTACTATTCCGCACACTTCGCAGACTGGTGCACCATCGCGAGGGCTATCTCTCAGACTATGTCAGTGATGCGTTCGAGGATGTGAAAGGACGGCTTATTGGACGTGGATGCCTACCAAAGATCAAGGATGACACCAGGCTCCTAGTCATCAACGATGAAGCACAGTTCCTTGGCGACCAGTTCAATGGCTCTTTCCAGTCGATGCCTTCTTCGGAGGATTCTTCACGACCGCTACTGTCTCCTATCCTACACGCGTTTCGAGATATCGGTCAACACCAGCTCACGCTTGTCACTTGCGGTGCTGGCCTCAGTATTAACACCCTTTTCTGGGTTCAGAGCTCAGGTTCTGGTCTAAAAGACAGCTCCACTACTTTTGAGGTGAGTAGTTCGCCTTTATTAACGCTAGCTTGTCTTTCAGTCGCGATGGAGATCAAAGACTGACTAATCTTTGACATTTTTTTCTTCTTTCCACCTACACCACAAAACAAACAAAACAACGCCAAAATAAGTATCTTGAGTTTCCTGGCTGGGCAGACAAGGACTCGATCAAAACGTACATTTCCCGAGTGCGAGATTGTTTGCAGGACGACCAGTCAAAGTTGGCTTTGGATGAGTTTCTCTCGCAGGAGGTAGTTGAGATGCTGTTCCAAAAATTTGTGGGTCGCTATCGTCCGGCTATTGCTTGCATGGTATGTCAACTTGAGATGACCACAAAGAGAAAAGAGGCAATGAAATGATGGAATGTATAGTATGCTTTGTACTTACAGCCTTATTGTCTTTCCGTCTGTAAGAAAGGATTGTCGAATGCGACGACCCTGGTGCATGGAAGAAGACCATCGAAGATGCAGAGGACAGGCTGGTATCTTGGGCGCATCGGCACATCAAAGGCAATTTGTGCTACGAGATATCTCGCCTCCACGACAAACACAACAAATACAAGGATCAGGTTGTGGAGTCTATCGACAGCATGCTGGGCCTCCTTATGTATCAGCGTTGCATGTTTGGGAATCACGACCTTGTCCTCAAGGAGGTGAACCCTGCGTTGGTGGAGCATGCGTTTGGTCGGATCAAGATCACCCGCGGTCATGCTGTTACCGTCATGGACGAGCCCTTCGTTTCCAAAGCTGTCGAGAACTATTTCGCCGCCATCGATCCCTACTTCGTGAGGGAAGTGCGGAAACTTATGGTAAAGTCAAGTCTTATTGAACAGGGATGTGTGTTTGAGCGGTTCATGATGAAGGTTTTCAGTGAGACGTTCAACATACGACCTCTATCGGAGTGGCCGCATCAGCCCCCCATTTCTGATATGTGTCCAGCTCTCGTCGGCAAGGTGGAAATTGTTGGCCGGAGGGAACCTGGACTCGAGCAAAGCACGACGCACGCGATGGTGTCGATGGAGGAGTTCATGGACGCCCATGTCAACCATGGGTCAACCCGCAACAACATGCCTGTCGCGCCATTTTTCTTCCCCAAGTCCAATCTGTCGGGACCAGACTTGGTTTTCTTCATTCAGATCGACGGTGCTCGTTTGGTTCCTGTCTTCGTTCAGATGAAGCTGCAACAAGGGTCGGCTAACTTCTCGGAGAGGGATTGGAATGACGCACTCAGCACAGTCTCGGCACCCAAAATTGAGGACCACGTAAAGAATTTTCGCAAGTACTGCCCCGACAACGTCTACATCAGCATGATTGTTGCATACCCTACCAAATGGACTGACAAGCTGCCAGCACCTTCAGAGCTCCCAAAGGACCCCAGTGGTGTTCAGCAGGTCGTGATCAACGTCAGCGATGACAATTTCGGCGACATTTTCCTCCAGGAGCATGTGGAGTTTATTGATCGACTCAAGAATGCTCGAAAGCGTTCTGCCGACGACGGTCACAGCAACGACGAGGACTGCTCGAAAAAGCAGAGGAACTAATCTTTCATTGCAGCTTCCTCTGCCTACTTGACACTCAAATAAAAATGCACTTTTACGTTCTTAATGACGGGTTACCGAGTTGATTTTATCTTCTCCTTAAGCAGCTTGTTTTGTTTCCATCTCTTGCTCATAAATCTCTTTCCTTTTTCCATCACTTCCTTATGCCACCATTCCTTGCGTTCACACACCTTTCTTACTTCAACTCCATCTTTGCCATTACTCTTGCATTTTCTCCACCTCTCAATTCACCGACCACATCCGCCCCCTCTCTATTGTTCTTCACATCACTCCTCTCAACTTTCTTTGACTTTCACAACCTCAATTGCCATGGATTATCCCGAGAGAGATATTCCTATTCTCCATGTCGCATATTCGCCTAATGGCACCCTAAGATAGATGGAGACAATAGACTAGACTACCCTTAAGCTACATATCAGTTACTTGTGTACGTATGATAAAACCTTAATATATCGCACTCCACACACACAGACACACGCAGACACACACAGACACACGCAGACACACACAGACACACGCAGACACACACAGACACTTCCTGCAGACTTGCCGCCCCTCACCTCCTCCTTCACACTCGACGCTACCAACAATTCATCGTCTACCGCTGACACAACTTCACTGTCCAGCCTCTCTCTCTCACACAATCAGGGTTCTACCTCTAACACTTTCTATGACAATGCTGCCAATGCGTCATCCAAAGAGTCCATTATTTCCATCAACAACATTAACAACAGCAGCAATGATGCCAGTTCATCCCCGATCGAGCCCGACATGCCTGTCAGCCCCATCAGCACATTACCCAACGAGTACATCAATCCTGACAGCCACAACAACATCGCATCTCCTAAAGAACCCGTCATCCCTCGATCCTCGCTAACAGATGGTAGAGATTAACACTGCAGGTCTGGCCCTGTTCTCTCAGACTCTCATTGAGCTACCAGGCTTGTAACAAGAATATACATACATTTTTACCGCGCGGAAAGGACAGCTTGACTGAAGCATGACAATGAGTAATGTATGTTGACGAAAGGACAAAAAGGGTGAGTGGAATGATTGCAAGCTGTCGGGAGGACGCCACTTTATACATGTAAAAGAGGTGGCTGATTGTGGTTGAAACCAAGTCCGAGCTAAGTGTGGCTAATTTATATATTTGGAAGACTGAAGCAATTACAGCTTGACAGTTGATAGATGCGTCGTGCGATGCTACGATATAAGGGCTACAAAGAAAGGGGACGTGGTATTAATGACAGAGACCCCTAGTCATGTGGGAATGTCGGTTCTTCGGAAGGAGGAAGGGCCCCGCGTTGGACTAACAACTTTTGGTGGGTCGGGCTGAGTCCTACGGCGTTCGTGAATGTAGCACCCTTGGTATAGAGTATTCTTAGGTTTGGGCCCCAAACCATCTTGAAGACGATGTTCCCACCCTCATCGATCGACATTCTCCATAATTGGACAGATCCATCAAAGGCACCGGTGGTAAGCTCCATTGGAACAACGGGATTCCATGCTACATTGCCGACGCTTCTATAGAATGCACAGATGGAATGCACTCTTGACCAACTCTCCACCCCACCCGACAGCTGACGATGCCAAATTCCAACCGTCTTGTAGTTATTGGCTGAGGCGATCCATTGTCCACACGGTGAATACGCGACGCCTCGAATCCAACCTTCCCGTTCATCAAGTATGGCGCCAGTTTCCCTCGACTGCAAATCGCAAAGGTGGATCCTGCCGTATCCGGTTCCAAAGGCGATTTGTTGATCGTTTGGTGAATAGACCAATGACAAAGGGGATTCTCCTATCGTCATCTGACTCGAAGGCTCTCTGGACTGAGTATTAAAGAGACAAATTTTGCCCCACCCAGCATGGATTGCTAGTTGACCTCCAGTTGACGAGAAAGCCACAGCACCGAAATCTCCTCCCAAATGCTCGTCGACATCCACAAGAAGATATTGTAGCCCCATATCGTGCAGGTCCCACAATCGCACGGTGTTGCTCTCGTCGACAGAGACAATCCAGCGGCAGCACGGCGAATAGACCAATATGCAAATACACCTTGAGTGGCCCTCCAAGACGGGTCCTGCTGTGTCGGTTTGACAGTTCCACAAGCGGATAGAGCCATCTACACAACCGAATGCGAGCTGACTGCCATCCAGAGCGTAAGCCCTGGACGAAACCTCCGTCTGCGTAGGTATCTTGTGGGGGATGGGCGCAGATGTACCTGTTGCAGTATCCCATTGTCGAAATATATTGCGATTGTCGTACAAGAGAAGAGTTCGACCATCGCGAGAGTATACCAACCCTTCCACACAACCACCATCCTGTGGATCAAAACTCGACCAGCTGGAGCTAACTTCCCACAGTCGCACCTTCCTGTCATATCCCCCAGATGCGATCTGAAGACCATCTGGCGAGAAGGCAACGCAGCTCACGTAATGATCATGACCAGTCAAGACAGTGACAAGAGCGCCGGTCGATGCATCCCATAGTCTCACTGTGGAGTCATGGCTAGAAGAAGCAATCCATTGGCCGTCGGGGGAGAAGTCGACTCCTGAAATATTACCGGTGTGCCCACTGAGGACGGGACCTGGCTCTTGTGAAACCGGATCCCAAAGCCGCAGCTGACCCCCATAGTGACCAGCGGCGACTCATCGTCCATCCGGTGAATAGGCAACACAATTTACGCTTTCGGAAGAGGGACTTAAAACAATCCCTGACTCTCCTGTCTCTGCATCCCAAAACCGGATCATCCCGTCCAAGCCGCCTGACACAAGTTGGCGTCCATCTGGTGAATACTTGACGTTCCTCGTCGAAAAGCCATCACACTCCAACACAAAGAGACTCTCTCCAGTGTGCGCGTCCCATAATCGCATCGTCGTGTCGTCGCTGGCCGACACAATTCTGCCTCCACAGGGTGAGATAGTGACCGAGATAACATTGTGGCTGTGTTTCTCCATGACCAATAGCTCCTCACCGCTGGTAGTGTCCCACAATCGAACCGTCCAGTCGTAGCTGCCGGATACGAGTCGTTGGCTGTCTGGTGAGAAGACAATACTCTCCACCCTATCAGCATGTCCTTGCAGGCGATGCATCCTTGTCCAGGTTGAAGTGTCGTAGATATAAATGGTCCCATCGAATAAACCCGCACCAAGCATCTTCCCATCGGGCGAACATGTGCAGGAGAGCATAGTTTCATCCATCTCAAGGTACGGTAGCTCTCCAAATCGAACACCCTCCATATGTGCATCGCTCATGTCCACCCGCCGCAGCCAACTCTTCGAGAAATTGACGCCTGTCAAGTCGGCTCCTTGGAACTGAGTATAGTCGAATTGACCACCGGACAGATCGGCATTAGGGATTTTGGCGCCTCGAAGATCTGCGCCGTTGAAGGACACATCGGCTCTGACCAGGATCGTGATCGCGTTGGTGGCGGCAATGGCAGCACTAGCGTCGGTCTTGGACCGGTCGATGACGGCGCGAAGTTGAAGCTTGAAATCAAGGTTCAGCTTCACGCGATCACACAGGAACTGGATGATAGACGGTTCCTGGAGTAGGTCTCTCTGGAACAAGGGATTGTTGGCGTCGAGGAGTTGCGAGACTGGGGGTGCAGTTTCGACTTGCGGATCAAATTCCTCGTCAACCTTGACCGGGCTGTAGATGACTCGAGAGAAAAGGTACTCAAGAACAGACCGATGGACAAAATGATACTGGTTGCCGGTGCGCATCAATGGGCTGGCATCACGGAGCAGCTTGGCCTCGGGGTCGGTGCCAAAGAATGCCGCCTTCCAAGTGTTCTTGTCTTGCCGATGGGTGTACTGAACGATCGGGTTTCCGTCCTGCTCCTTAAAGATAGTGGCGGATAGTCGCACAAGGTAGTCGACTCCTTGGACAATAAAATCGTCATCCACCAGAGAGTTGAAAGCCGCCAGCTCCTCCTTGGTCAAAGTGTTGGATTGTAGACGCACCCTGTTCGTCTCCAGCCATTGGTCGACAAACATATCATAGAGCCCTGCACGTGTAACACGGATGCTTGCCAGATTCTTGTTCGACGCAGCAAGACCAGGCAGGGCCTTGAGCGCAAGTGTAAGCAGGAAGGGATTCTTGACGAGGTCCATGACATTGGGGATCGCTGCCAGCTTGTCCATGTACTCTTCTGCCGACCATGGAGCTTGGCTGTTGCTAAACAAAAGCGCCGCCTGGGGATCCTTGGCATACTGCTCGACATAGTTCTTGACCTGGTCCTTGGAAAATGGCGCGACAACTGCCTCCTGGAAGAGATCCTGCGAGCCAGACGAGTACCGATCAAAAGGTTGAGGCTTGAAGCGGTCGAGATAGGTCGGTCCAAGAAACTGGGTGAGGCAACTGACTATCATCTTGGTGTTCCACTGCCCCGGCTGATTCAGCATGTTGGTCTTGTGGAGATTGACCAATTGCTGGCTTTCGTCGTAGCCATCGCAAATGAGGATGAGCTGACGGTGCAGTTTGAGCTCCTGGATCTGGTCATCCTTGAAGTTGTAGATCCTCAGCTGCTTGGCGACCATGTCCTGCGCTGGGTTGTCGATGCCAGGCAGGTTGATGAAGAGAGGAATGGGACCACCCTGCTAGTAGTCGGTCCAAAGTCGATGTTCGAGGTGGCGGTTGAATGTTGACTTGCCTGCGCCAGAGTCGCCCAGCACCAGCATAACTTGACGCTTGCCCTCCATGAACTCTTGAACTTTCTCCATCAGAGGAAGCAGGTCTTCGTCCTTGGCGTTTAGACTAGGCTTGGCCAGAGGCGGAATATAGACGGACTGGGTGTTCTGTTTCAACCGCTGAATCTTGTGCAGGTGCAGGTCGTATTCCACATATGGGATGTTTTGGACACGGGCGAGGATTGGTGAGGATGTGGGCAAAGGGAGTCGGTTTCTCAGCGGATAAAGAAGGCTCTTGGTAGTGCCTTGGCCCTGCATGCGCTCCTTGAGCAGAGTGTGAGCACTGGTGGCGACAGCCTGGTCCTCGACAGTGCAAAGTTGACCGATGATGTTGAGCATCCAGGTCTTGACACTATCATCTTGACTCCATTCAGTATCTTTCTGGTACAAATCTCCAAGGAGAGTAATGGCTTGTTGGCGAACAGTCGTTTTCCAGAAGGCATCGGATGCAATCTCACCCAGCAGCTGACAGATACCCCATTGGAACAAGGGATCGCGACGACAGGGCGCCTCATAGATGAGCTGGTTAAGATCCTTCAGCTGACCAGCTTGGGCAAAAGCGTTGGCAGCGCGGATAGCAGAGTACCATGGTCGCTTCTGGCCGGACCCAAGACCCTCCTTCAGACTCTCAAGAACACCTTGTCCTCTTTCCAACAACGAACAGACGCCCTCGTAGACAGTGACAGCAGTACCAATGGCGCCACCAAGTGCCTCTTGAAGGTTGCTAAGGCCTTCGAGAACAGCGCCCACATCCAACTTGAACACAGCCGAGACCTTTACAAACCCATCGACAACGCCGGTAGAGCGACGAAGAACCGCCTGCAAAGCGGTCTCGTCATCAGGGACGTACTGTAGCGCCTGAAACGCGTAGCAGGCCTGGTACATCAAGTAAGGATCCGAGCTATCCTTCATTCCCGTCAAGACCCCAGACAAAGGCTCGTGTTCGACAACCCGGTTCAAATCCTTGACCTTGTGGTCCGCCATAGTATCCAACACTCTCGAGACAGCAAGAGTGAGGTGAAAGGGATGCACCGAGGATTGCTGGTGGGTTCCTTGTAAGTTAACTCGGAGGATACTGAGAATCTTGACCAAATCATCGGCCAGCAAGGACTCGGGCGGCGCAGACTGCACCAATTGCACAAGCCCTTCAAGTAGTTCGACATCGAGGAGGACAAACTGATCGAAATTTGTGATAATGTGTTGTAGCAACCTGCGATAGGTCTCCTTGTCGAGGACAGGGCCAAGGAGGACCATCTCGGCAATCTCGGTCGAATCCTTGGAGGCATCTTTGGCAAACTCGTCGACCATACGGACCCCCAGCCAACGGATATGATCCTGCTCAATTGGATCCTGCTTCACAGCCTGGACCCAAGCAAGTCGAGCGGTGGTGTCAGAGCGTAAGTCCTGCAGACGATCCTCCTGCTGGTCAACAGTGCCGCCGTCCTTGGGGAGTAAGCCCATGCACAAAGCAAGCTGAGGAGTAGCGCCAATTCGAGTGCGGATCTCAGGCAAGGATGCCTGGACAGATGGCGGATAGACGTTCTGTTTGAATACATTCAAGCGAGGTTGGGTCCGCAGAGTTGAAGATTCGACGTTGGCAGCAGAACCCTTGACGGCAGTGGTGGTGACCACATGCTCGATCTCGATACTGCTCTGGGCACTCTCAGTTACAGTGCCAATGATGCTAGCGTGGGTGCTGACAGTCGAAAGGCGGTGGAGCCGGGTAGAGTCGGTGCTTGCTGTCGAGGCTCGCTTGACATCTTTGGGGCTGTCAGTCTGGGACTTGACCTTGGGATCTGAGCTGGACGACCGAAACAGGTTGAGAAACTTGTCGAGAAACTTGTCTCGCTTACGGATATGCTGGGAGGGTGCAGACATGGTGTGTGTGTGAGAGATGAGGACGATATTGTCTTGTAATCGCTTTGCGTGTTCAATTGAGGGGTCGGAGATGTGTTCGGTGGGATCTTTGCTTGGTTCGCTTGAAGAAAGAAATCTATATGCATGCAAACGATCGTTAGCCAAAAGCAAAAAGAAGGGAGGACAGGGTCACAGATTGCGCTTTCTCCGCGGGGCGATGACTTTTTTTTGGGCTTTTGTTTTTTTTGTGCTGTTGTTTTCGCTCGTCTTGAAGATTGAGTGTATGGCGCCTTACGAAGAAAACGCATATAAGCAAGCAGACAAGGAGGATTGGTAGACGTTGAAGAATGCAAAGGCGGATTGACCAGAGAGATAGCATGTAACCTATGGGTCTCATACCTCTGGAGAAGGCTGCGGTATCCTGTGGTTTGCTTTCCTAGAGAGCAGCGAGAGTTCTGACAGGCTGTCGGGTCGAAATGCACACAATGGACCTATTAGGTGAGAAAGGTGGTGATGTGTGAATATGTCCAGTCAGAGGAGCTCCAGGTAGCGGCGCATGTGACGTCGATGTAGAGTTGTCCGTTTCCAATACCTCAAGGTGAAAGGTGAGAACTTGTTCTGTCTCTGTCGAGTAGACACGCGTGAGAGGTGATCCTGGGAGTGTGAGAGAGAGAGAGAGATTGCGATTTGAGCAGCGATGAAGGTCGCGTGAATGAGTTGATGTTGTAGCGATCGAGAAGTGTAATCAGGACGAGGAGGGTGTTGATGAGAAGAGGGGTGATGGACAACGACTCGAGGAACTGAAATGAAGGCGATGAAAAGAGAGAAGTGGCTGGTGGAAGGAGAGAAAGACAGGCGACACGCTTTCTTGTTCTTGCTCCCCAGCTGCGACCTTGCTCCCAGAGGTCTGGGCTGATGTGAGAACAGGTCGAGCAGTGGAACATTTGGCTGATATCAGGTCAATGGGTGGCTTAGAAATTAAAAGAACAGGTCATTCCCCCTTTTGTCACACCAACATCAGGTCAAGAAATTGGGACATCAGGGTATTCAATAAGTAGACTTTCGCATATGTAAAAGGCCGCGATTGAATTACAGCCAATCATCCGGGGTGTAGACAGGCGCAAATGAACCGGATGATTGGCTGTCGTTCAATCGCGAACTTTTACATATGCGAAAGTCTACTTATTGAATATCCCCCAGGTTAAGGGGAGGAATGACGACACACAGAGGTGAAGTGGAGCCGTTGAGGGAGAGTTCGAGGAGAACGAGTGTAAAGACAATGGAATGGAAGATGAACATCCAATACAGAGAGGACATTCGAGGGAAACAGATATGATGAAGGACAACTTTATGAGAAGAAAGGAAGAAAAGAAGTGAGGAACTGTCTAGGGCTAAGCTAGCTATCTTATAGGGGATCGGGAGCTAAGGAGGAGAGATCTTCCATACTAAGCATCATATCTATGGAAGGTCGGGAAAGGTTGCTACTTGAGAGCGATGGTGACTACCTAAGATAGATGGAGGTCGGCGCCGAAGGTGAGCACGACGACCTACGAGATCCTAGCGAGAGCATCTAAATGGTGGCTTAGGAAGTGCCAAACGCAGCAGTTGACGTATTTTTGAGTTGCGAAAGAAAACAAAACAAAACAAAACAAAACAAAGTGCTGCAGTATAAGAGCAATTTTTTTTTTCAGGTCCCCCTTCTCTTTCATCTTCTTGTTCTCTCCACCCTTTCCTTCTTTCTCATTCCTCCCTTCCCGCTTCCCATATCCAGAGAACAAGAAGAAGAAAAGACAATCATGGAGGCAACCAAGCAGTGGCTGAGCAACTACTTCCCCTGCTACACTCTGAATGTGAGTGGTGGCGTCGTCAATCCGACAGAGCGCTTGCCCGTAGCCCAGACAGTTTTCTTGTCATTGCAGCATGTCCTGGCTATGTTTGGTTCTACAGTCGTCGGCCCCTTGCTGATGGGCTTCAACCCCAACACGGCCTTGTTCTTTTCGGGCATTGGCACCATTCTCTTTTTCATTTGCACGGGAGGTCGGGTCCCCTCCTATGTCGGTTCGTCTTTCGCATTCATCGGTGTCGTCAATTCGGCTACGGGGTTCAAGTATGTGCCTGGTGGACCTGGTAACCCCAATGCGCCACTGGCCTCTGGCGGTATCTTGGTTGCAGGTGCGATTTATTTCGCTGTTGCCTTGATCGTCATGCTGGCAGGCCACCGTTGGATTGAATACATCATGCCCCCCGTGGTGACCGGCGCCGTCGTAGTGGCGATTGGCTTGAACTTGGCCGGCGCCGCATTAGCTCAGGCTTCTGCCTCCGGTTTTGACGCCTGGATGTCATTCACGACCGTTATTGCCGTTGCATTGATCACCATGTATGCACCTGGTCCCTTGCGTCGTCTGCCTATTTTGCTTGGCGGGATTACCGGATACCTGGTTCATTTGATCCTTGGCTATTGCGGCGTTGGACCTGGCATTGATTTCACGGCCGTCAAGAACTCCAAGTGGTTCGGCATGCCTCCTACCCATGCACCCGTTTTTGAAGGATCAGCCATCTCTCTCATTGCTCCCGTTGCTGTGGTACTGATTGTTGAGAACACGGGTCACGTCAAGGCTGTCGGCGCCATGACAGGTCATTCATTGGACAAGTACATGGGTCGGGCCTTTTTGGGCGACGCTATTGCCACCATGGTTTCGGCTGCGTGTGGCAGCACCGGTGTCACGACTTATGGTAATTACCATTCCACAATCTCAGAAGAGGATGCGGATAGCAGGATTTTGGGATAAAAGAACGCGGGAAAACAATGAAGGATTAATCGGGAACGGTCGAATGCGGTGGAATGTCGAGAAGAGGTTGAGGTTGCCCAGCCTGGAAAAGAAAAATAGCCAAAAAAAAAAAAAAAAAAAAAAAAAAAAGAGGCGATGCAGACGTGCGATTAGGGTTATTGTTTCCGTGGAACAAACAAGTGGACTCACATCTCTTCTTCCTTTCCAAAAACATTCACAACAAAACAGCTGAAAACATTGGAGTTATGAGCGTCACCAAGATTTTCTCTACCCAGACATTCTTGTTTGCTGCTGTGGTGGCTATTATTCTCGGAGTCATCCCTGGCTTTGGCGCTATCATCCAGACGATCCCCTCTGGTGTCTTTGGCGGTCTGTCGATCATTCTCTTTGGTCTTATTGCAGTTACTGGCGCTCGTATCTGGGTCATGTCCAACGTAGATTTCTCTCGCCCTCGTAACCTGATTACCGCTGGTGTGTCGGTTGTCCTGGGCTGTGGTATGGTCAATGGTCTTGTGGTCTCGTTTGGTGTTGTTAAGATCGATGGTATTGGTTGTTCGACGCTGTCGGCGATTATCTTGTACCAGATCCTGCGCGAGGACTGGGGCGATATTTTCCGCTCCTTGGTCGGCAAGTTCAAGAAGGGTAAAGGCGCCAATCCGGTCATGATGGTCGCCGACTCACCCAAGGGCGATTTGGACTTACCCATCTCTACTTCACGTCGTGACTCGTCCGATGCTGAAGAGATGGAGCTTGAGCGTCGCAGCTCGATCGACATCAAGAGAACTCAGTAATCGTTTATCACAAACATATGTATAGTATTCTTCATTTTATCATTTCAACAATATATATCGATAAACGATAAATCGGCAAGTTGCCCAATCAGTCCATGACCTCTTCCAGAACGCTCTCTGTAGTAACGGATAAAGGAAAAGGTGTTTTCATAAAGCTCACTATGTTCCCTCTCAAATCAAAGCAGTTCATGCACCTTCACCACTGTTGCTCATACAACTTCACAACCTTGATCATTTCGCCCTCAATTTTCGCTAACAGATGGTAGAGATTAGCCTGTAAGTTGACCCTATTCACTCAGACTCTCATTGAGCTATCAGGCTCGTAACAAAAATGTGCATACATTTTTACCGCGCGGAAGGGACAGCTTGACCGAATCATGACAATTAGTAATGAATGCTGACGAAAAGACAAAAAGGTTGAGTGGAATGATTGCAAGTGTCACGGGGCAAGGCCGAGTTGAGGATTGCCCTTGTGACTTTGCCCACTCAACAAAATATAAAAGACCCCTAGATAGCCAAGTGTTAGCTCTTCCCCTAGTATCGCCTTTAAACACCCTATCTAGTCCTTTTCATACTATCAGCCTTTATTTCTTGACAAGGTCCTTTACCTGCTTCCTCCTACGTTTTGATCTGTCTTCTTGACAGCAAGCTGTCGGGAGGATGCCTCTTTATACATGTAAAAGAGGTAATACGATGTGGCTAATTGTGGCTGAAACAAAGTCTGAGCTAAGTGTACCTAATATAAATTGGAACACTATTTTTGTCTCGACCAGGGAGAGCGCCGCAATGATTTTTAGGGAGAGAAGAGGAAATATGGGTGTGGGAGAGGGGACCTGGGCAGTGGATATGGGAAGAGAAAATGAGATTTGGGGGGATGACATGGAGAGGGATCATGAGGAAGCACAAGGGAGGGGAGTGAGGGCAGGGGAGAGGGGAGAGAAAGAGAGTGGCGATATGCAGAGAGGATATAGGGAGGGGATATGGGGAGGGGACATAGGAAATTGAGTTAAGGTTTGTGGCTGACAGTGGCCCTCATTGTGGCTAGAATGTGGCTGATCGGGATGCACTACGGTTTTTTTTCTTTTTTTTTGGGGGGAGGGGGTAGAATTGAGGTGTGACTGGGATATTGAGGAAAAAGGTGCCAGTAAATTTAACATAGGGATATATTAACTGGCTTGTGGCAGCCAAGCGTTCATAGCGACGTTGCTTTTTGATCCTTCGATGTCGGCTCTTCCTATCATACTGAAGCAGAATTCAGTAAGCGTTGGATTGTTCACCCACTAATAGGGAACGTGAGCTGGGTTTAGACCGTCGTGAGACAGGTTAGTTTTACCCTACTGATGAAATGTTGTTGCAATAGTAATTGAACTTAGTACGAGAGGAACCGTTCATTCGGATAATTGGTATTTGGGCCTGCCTGAGCAGGCAATGGCCCGAAGCTATCATCCGTTGGGTTATGGCTGAACGCCTCTAAGTCAGAACCCGTGCTAGAACGCGACGATTACCGCCTTTTCCGATTTTTAGTTGAATACGAATAGATCCTCGGATCCTGAATCATACTACGTGGGGTTATCTTGCAGAGCGGAAAGGCTTTGTGAGGTTCCTGCTAATGTTAATTTCAAATATTGGAAGAGATAAATCCATTGCAGACGACTTTAATTGAACGGGGTATTGTAAGCAGTAGAGTAGCCTTGTTGCTACGATCTGCTGAGATTAAGCCCATTGTTCTATAGATTTGTTCGAAAGAACAACATCTCCTCTCTCTCTTCTTTTTTTTTTCTCTTCTGGCTGGGTTAATTAAGGGCATTTTATTCAAATTTAGGGAATGAACTTGTGTACTTTTCACCCCTCTTGTTTTTTACATAGCCCGCACACGCACTTTTTTCTTCTTTTTTTACACGCTCCTGGTCATCCTTTTTTTTACACGGCCCGCACACGCACTTTTTTTTTTTCGTCACTTTTACCTGTAACCCCAAGTGGCCTGAAATCACGTCTGAACTTTTCCCGAACCAAACAGCTGCTGACCGTCCGGACCTGACGACCCGAGTCTTTCACATCAAACTGAAGGAACTTCTGCATGATCTGCTGAAAAACCAAGTCCTTGGGAAGGTCGTTGGCATGATTCATGTCATTGAGTTCCAGAAGCGTGTGTCGCATATTCGCCTAATGGCACCCTAAGATAGATGGAGACAATAGACTAGACTACCCTTAAGCTACATACCAGGGACAGCATAATAGACTGTACCTGGTGTGCCTAATACAATCCCTCTCTTTGTCTCATCAGTTACTTGTGTACGTATGATAAAACCTTAATATATCGCAGCGTGGACTCCCACACGCGCACATTCTGCTCATCATGAGCCCCGAGCACAAGCCTGGATTGCCTGCGGACTACGACACATACATTTCTGCCGAGATTCCCGACCTTGCAACTCACCCAGCCGCCTATGAGACTGTCATTAGATCCATGATCCATGGTCCATGTGGACAGGCGAACTTGAACTCTCCTTGCATGGAGAACGGCGTGTGTACCAAAGGCTATCCCAAGCCCTTCCTCGAACGCACCACAAACGGACCAAATGGATATCCACAATACCGGCGTCGCATGGATGGAAGGACGGTCAGGATCGATGGCCGGAGAGATTTCGAGATTGACAACCGTTGGGTTGTTCCGCACAACCCCTACCTGGCTGCCAAGTATGGTGCTCATATCAATGTCGAGAGCTGCACCTCTTCCACTGCGGTCAAGTATCTCTACAAGTACGTCTACAAAGGCCATGATCGAGCCACTGTCGTAGTCCAACAAGCTGCACAAGACGGAATTCAAGCCGGAACCGGAGATATACCTGTGCCAGCAGTCAACGAGATCATTGATTTCATCGACGGTCGCTATGTCTCTGCCTCCGAGTCTTCTTGGCGCATATTCGGATTTCGTCTGCATAGTGCCTATCCATCTGTCACCAGGTTGCATTTGCATCTTCCCGGCCAGTTCATGCACGCCTTCCGCTCGGATGAACCCATCGCTGATGTCCTAGAGAGAGCCGCACTGGAGCGCAGTACGCTAACTGCATTCTTCGACTATAACCGACACCATCCCGACGAGTCGCTTACAAAGTACCACAACTTCCCACAAACTCATGTTTACCTCAAGAGGGAAAAGCGATGGAAGCTCAGACAGAGAGGATGTACAGTCGGCCGGCTCTTTTTTGTGCATGATACCGCAGGAGATCTATTTTATTTGCGGTTGCTATTGCTCTCGGTGCCAAGTCCTAAATCGTTTGAGGATCTGAGAACAGTCGAAAACGAGGTCCACCCCACATTCAAGGCCGCCTGCATCGCCCTTGGCATGCTTCAAGACGATAGTGAGTGGGAGAACTGTCTTCGAGATGCTGCTGTCAGTCAAACAGGATACCAACTCCGCTCCCTTTTTGCAAAGATCCTTGCCTTTTGCAATCCGACAGATCCTGCTCAGCTTTGGACCACCTTCCGCGATGTACTGTCTGATGATCTCCGTCCAAGGGAACGTGACGCTACCAGTCCTGAGCAGCGACAATCCTTTGCAGACCAGCGTGCAAATGCTGCCTTGATCCACTTACAAGTTCTCCTGAGAAACCTCGGCAAGACTCTCGACGATTATGAAGGCATGCCCGAGCCCGTCATGCTAGAGCAGCATGGTCCCAACGGAAATGCATTTATTGCAGACGAGTTGAGCTATCCTTTGCCTAGCGCAGAGGAGTTTTCCATGATGGAACAGTCGCTCAATGCAGATCAGAGGGAAGCATACGACCGAATCAAGCACTCCTATGAGATGAACTCTTCCGAGGCATACTTCATCGATGGTTCGGCAGGCACAGGGAAGACCTTCCTGTACTCCTTTATCCTGTCTATGGTCCGGTCGAATCGCGATATCGCTCTTGCCGTCGCCGGATCTGGAATCGCCGCATTACTCCTTCAAGGCGGAAGAACCGCTCACTCGCGCTTCAAGATTCCCGTCCCTACCCATGAAGATAGTGTTTGTTCTGTCAACCTTAGGTCAGAAATTGCCGATCTTCTCATTCAGGCCAAGATCGTTATCTGGGACGAAGCTCCTATGACGCATCGGCATATCTTTGAGGCTGTAGATCGCACTCTCAAAGACCTGATGAAGACTGTGGACCCTGAGAACGAACACCGTCCCTTTGGAGGAAAGCTCAAGGTCTTTGGTGGCGACTTTAGGCAGATTCCACCAGTCGTCAAGCAAGGTCGCAGAGAGGAAACCATTGGAGCCTGCTTTAAACGATCACCACTCTGGCAACACATCCAACACCTCCATCTTTCCATCAACATGCGCCTCCTCAGAAATGCCGAAGCTCCTGACATCGAGGAACAGACCGGGTTTGCAAACTGGCTTCTTCAAGTCGGAGAAGGTACTGTTCCTGGCCCATCTCCAGACCACGGAATCTCCACCACCATCACGCTCCCACCCCAGATGGTCATGCCAGCCAATGCCAACATTGGCGATCTCATTGCAAAAGTCTATCCTGATCTGCGGCGAAATATTGGCAATGCCCAGTATCTCAATCAGCGCGCAGTGCTCTGTCCGACAAACGACAACGTCGATGAAGTCAACAACCTCATCATGTCAGCCATAGAGGAGGAATCAAGGGAGTTTCTCTCACAGGACTCCATCATCGATAAAGAGGACGATAGAGTGGACGCTCTGTTTCCTATCGAGTTTTTGAACAGCCTCAAGTCGTCTTCGCTCCCTCCTCACTGCCTGAGATTGACTGTGGGTTGTCCCGTCATACTCCTTCGAAACCTCATGCCACAGGAAGGACTTTGCAATGGTACACGACTCATATGTACGTCACTCTCCCGATACGTCTTGGGAGCCACTATCAATACAGGAACACATGCCGGCAAACAAGTGTTCCTTTCCCGCATCCCGATCTGCCCTTCTGACCTCGATATGCCGTTCAAGTTCCGGCGACTCCAGTTCCCTATCCGGCCTGCCTTTGCAATGACTATCAACAAGTCCCAAGGTCAGACTTTAGACACTGTTGGTATCTATCTCAAGAAGCCAGTATTCGCCCATGGTCAACTATACGTCGCCCTTTCTCGAGTGACGAGCAAGAACAATGTTCATGTGTTGATTGAGAGAGAGCATCCCGATACACCATATGATTGTACAACAAATGTTGTTTACCCAGAAATTCTTACCCTGAGTGACTAAAAAAAAAGACAAGAGAAAAAAAAAATGAAAAAGTAGAGAGCAAGGGAGTGAACCGGAGAGTGGCAGACAGATATAAGTCTTACAATACAAAACCACACCCACATTTTTTTTTTCACCCAACACCTCCGCGAGCGAAGCCGCGGGTACTATTCTAGTGGAATAGATATTTCTCGCTCTATTACTTCCCGTCCGGGACTACGCCTACAAGCTCAACTATATCCTTGCCTTCACTTTCATCAAATGTGAGATCGACTGATCATTGCGAGATTATTCAACATAATCAACATCAACTAGACATACCAGCCCTCTGGCGTACAGCATGCCTCTCACCTTGACATGTCAGCCCTCTGGCGTGCAACATGCCTGCCTGGCATCTCTTGAGGCCTCTGCTAGCCAAGAGTACAGGGATCAGGACCGCTTTGGACCATCGCACCCACTGCAGAGCCAAACAATTATGGATCATTCGAAGTTATTGAGGGAATAGATGCATGTGTAAAAAGGAATCTTCTCACTTAGGCGTACTAGAAGTCAATGGAGAGAAAAAAGGGAGAGCGTACAGTATGAGGACGTGATGATGAGGTGAGTGAGGAAGTAATGGAAAGGTGAGCAATCTTGCATGCTAGGAGCAACAAGGACTGCCTACACCGATCCTCACACGAAGAACGAAGAGAAGAACAGGGTCCCGAATCCGGAAACAGTCACTAAGTTGAGGCGTGAGTATCAGTTGCTCCATTACCTTCAAATCTGGGCCAGAAGAGATGAGAAGGGTGGAGAAGAGATTGAGGAAGAGGAGGAAGGCAAGGAGGAGGAGCACAAGGAGGAGGATAAAGGGAAGGGGGACAAAGGGAAGAAGGACAAAGGGAAGGAGGACAAAGGGAAGGAGGACAAAGGGAAGGAGGACAAGGAGGAGGAAGAAGAGGAGAAAGAAGAGATTGAAGAGAAGGAGAGAGCTAAGTGCAAAGGATAAACAGAGGTGATGAATAAAAGTGGGAATAAAAAAGGAGAAAGAGAAGAGATGAATGGATCAAGAAAAGCAACAACAGGGGGTGATGCAAGTGATGTTAAAGCGGCTATGGTGAAGAATAGAGTGACAACGATGAGAAAGGAGAGAAATAATGGTAATGCTTGATGGATGGTCAATCACGTGTTATGGTGTGTGACGTCATTATATTTTTTCGTGAGAACGACTCGTACAAGCCGGCATGCTCGAACAAAAGGGACAAATAGACAACATGGAGGCAGAAGCAAGGTGGCTATAAAAAAAGTGAACATACAGCATACATGATAAAGACGCATGAATGAACAAATAGACAGAAAAGAGGGCGTAAAAGTAGATGCATGACAAAATAGAAAGCACAAAGGGCGTAAAACTAGATGCATAAGCAAAAAGAAAGCACAGGGAGCGTAAAAGTAGATGCATGACAAAACAGAAAGCACAGAGGCCGCAAAAGTAGATGCATAAGCAAAAAGAAAGCACAGTGGGCAATCAATACAAGCGACTTTTAGTGTACTCACGAAATGTACTCGATAAACACACACGGCCCGCGGCAACAGGGCCGGCCAATCGGCTCTGTGCGGCACACGGCCCGCGGCAAAAGGGCCGGCCAATCGGCTCTGAACGGAAGTGCCGATGCAGCTTTTTAGTGCTTTTTTTCTTGGCGGACACAGTGACACCAATTACTGGGGCGTCAAAAGAGTGAAGGAGCTCTCTGCGATTATATCATCTATTTACTTTCCCACATTTTTGCATTTTTTTTGGGCTGTGCCCTACTATGCATTCGTCGTCCAGGTGCAGAAGAGAATACGGAACAGCCTACACGCTTTAATTGTGCCGGTGGACACGCTAAAATCCAAATCAGGACAGATAGCCCCACCCAGCGGGCGGAGCGCATGCCGCAAGGGCACACCTGAATAGGGCAAAAGCTTGCCTCCCGCCACCCACGCGGAACAGACGTTTAGTTTAATGTCTGATATCATACCACAGGAGTACTGACGTGCCCTCTCCCATACTGCGCATAGCCTAAAAATAGGACACTGGCTGTCACGGCTGTGGGCGGGTGGCTCGGCGACATGACTCGAGACTGGGGGTTGCTCCTGTCAGCCAACGAAAAAGGACGCTCGAGCGGTTGCGTTCATGGGAAGAGAAATTTGTCTTAAAAGGCGACCCACTCTTCATCTCGCTTCTCCTTCAGTCTTTCTCTTGAACCCCACCCGCCAAAAAACACCCCACCTCAATTGCACCCTGCCCCCTTTCTTCCTTTCGTCTTTTTCTCGCCCTCTAGCCTTCTCCCCTCATACACGTACTTTTAACCTCTTTCCAAACAAAATGAAGGCAGTCAACACTTTCTTCTTTTTGCTTTGCGCCAGTGCTTCCTTGGTAAGGACCACCAGCATTTCATGGGGGTGAATATGATGCACAATGTTTCTTTTTTTTTTTTTTTTTTTTTTTTGCTAATTGAATCTCTGTACTTAGGCCATCGTTGTACCAAACTTGCGCATTCGAGCGGAAAATAATTCACCTTCAGGGGATCCCATGTACCAATTGAGCGCCGATGACGACTTTCACTACGAACTTCTTCGCATCCTGGGTATAGCGCCGTACGAGGGATCCGACATTGGCGAGGTTCTCGTCGCTGCTAACAAGATTGAACCCCTCTCCATGCTCAGCTGGTCCAAATCCTTTGATGAGCTGGCCACCCATATGGGCAAGGTCGCTGAAGGTATCGATTCGTCAAAGTACCCAATCTCGGCACGCAATGCCCACTTCAAGGCCGCCACCTACTACCGCGCGGCCGACTTTTTCCTCCATGGCAACTGGTCCGATCCCAATATCAACACGCTCTGGGACAAACAGACGGCTTCCTTTAACGCAGCGCTCAAGCTCATGACCATTCCTGGAAAACGCGTTACCTTGCGTTCCAAGGGCGGCCAATTTAAAGTCCCGGCCATCTACTATAGCAGTGGCTCGTCCAAGCCAAGACCCACCATCATCATGTGCAACGGTTACGACGGTGCCCAAGAAGAGATTTACCACGTCTTTGGTCAAGCCGCGCTGCAAAGAAACATCAACATCATCACGTACGAGGGACCTGGACAGCCCACGGTCCGTCGAGAGCAGAATATCGGCTTCATCCCCGACTGGGAAAAGGCTGCCAGTCCAGTCATTGACTACGCTCTCACACTCAAGAACGTGGATCCCAAATCCATCGCCGTGTTGGGATACTCCCTTGGAGGTTACCTCGCTACCCGAGTGGCTGCGTTCGACCATCGCGTCGCAGCCGTTATCGCCATTGACGGTATCTATGACTATGGCAAGACACTGACCGACAACCTTACCCCCGAACTCATGGAGCTTTACAAAGGCGGCAAGAAGGACGAGTTCGACTACATCCTCAATACTCATTTCCTCAACAACCAGAGCATCCCCACCTCGGCGCGCTGGGCTCTGCAGCAGGGTCTGTGGTCGTTCAAGACCCATAGTCTTTATGATTACTACAAGCTTTCCGAGGCCTACAACTTGACTGGGTTGACGGACAAGGTCCAAGCCAAAGTCTTTGTCGGAGACGCCGAAAACGACATTTATTTCCCTGGTCAGGCCAAAGCCCTCGCGGCCCATCTTGGCAACAAGGCCACGCTTTATGAATTCAAGGCCAACGAAGGTGCTGGAGCCCATTGTGCGGTGGGCGCAAATATTTATTTGACCCAGGTGATTCTTGACTGGTTTGATGGTGTTTTGAAGAACAAGAATGGAAAATAGAAAAAATATTTGCGTTTTATTTTTCACCGGTTGCACCTCCAGATAGAAGGCTATCCAAAAAAAAAAAAAAAAAAAAAAAACATAACAGTAATAAAAAACCCCCCCATAAAGTACCATACCTGTCATATCTTTTTGCAGTGAAAGTTTGGTAGCGTTTCATGGAGCGCTCGCTAAAATGAGAGACAGATCGACAGGTTCACGGGAGGAGCAGCTGCACATCCTCATTTCTTTGTAATATCACGATTCCAAAGTCGAGAGAACCAGGGGTCTTTGGTCCTGACTCAAGGTGCTGCCACCTCCAATTTTGTTCTAGAGACTTCGATTTTTTTTTCTTTTCTTTTTCTTTTTTTTCCATTGATGATGCTTCCTGGTCGGCCTCTCTCTCTATTGTGTGACTCTTTTCTTTATTCTCGCGAGAAACTACAGATACAAAATGAAATTTTGTCCGAACAGGATCCCTCACCTTTTCTTTTCTCGCGAAGGAACGCATCCCACGAGAGAGATATTCCCCACTTCACACATGTCTCATGAACACCCTACCATTCTTGAAGCTGGTAGGTTTATTATTGCCGATCACAGGATTAAAATAATGCTTAAATATGCACTTGATCAAATGTAGCCATCAGTCAATACAATACCTTTGCCATTATGCTTCATTTCTAGTACATCACCCACATTCGTAGCATGGGATACAAAGGAGGAGCATTATACAAAAGGCCAACGCGGCAAATAGTGGAGTACACTTACTACGCCATGATGACAACGAACAAGTACGCGGCGATGGGATCGTGCATGCTTTCGGAGCGAACTGCATGCGCCACTTCATCATAATTGTTTGACACGAAAACACGATCACAAATGGACCGTAGCGTGGCCAACGCTCATAAATGTCTGGAGCAGGGTCCGCACGTCTGGCAGCTGAAAGCAAGGTCGGACTTAGCACTTGGGAAAACGTTGACTCATGCGTCAGGTCAGCAATCCCGTCGCGGGCCAGAGAGAAGGGACCTAGGTTTCCAGTGCGGAAATCGCGAAACTTCTGGACCATGTCGCTGCCTTCAACGTTCCAAACTATTGCTTGCCCCAAGGTGGCAAAGTGTTCCAGGCTAAGCGTGGGATCTGTTCAAAAAGGTAGACAATGAATGAGCACCATAAATGCCTTCCTTGGTTACGATTATTCATGCATATTGCACCTCAACCCTGCGTACCAGGATATTCGGTCTGCACTTCCTCATTTGTCCACTTTGGGCTCAACATCGGAGTTACCCCTGGCTCCTTCCTTCGCTCCTCCTTGTCAATCCTGTCGTCTACATATTGTATCCATTTATAAGTCAGTCTTATGGATGACGATTGTGCGTTATGAAGCAGTGCGTGGTTGTCTTACCTGCTTTGACCTCTCTTCGTTTCTGACGAGCCACACACGGCGACGCCTGCGAGTCCCCATCTGTCGAATAAAGCGACTCCCCTATCTCCTCAACTGTTTGAACTGTCGAGCTTTTCTAGAGAAGATAAGGTCGAGATGAGCAAAACAATCGCCAAAGCGAAACAATGGGGGATAAAGCCATAATGAAGGTGATAGGCGAGTTCTTACATCAGGGGCGAGAAGATCCATTCCGGATTGTATTATATGAGAGCCTTTGATAACTCCAGATGTTTGGAGTTGGGTACGGTGCCGCTTGATGACATTCTGTAAACTCAACTTTTTTGCCACCTTGTCCTCAGCGAAGTAACGAGTCATCCACCCCTTAAATTCCTCCGTCTATCCAAGGAAAAGCATGGTTAGTTTTGGGTTAGCATCACCGGCGTGAGGTCCCCAAACAAGTAAAAAAAAGGCACGAACCTTTGTCTCATTGGCGAGGTGTTCCTGTCCACTTGCGACGAGCGATGAGCGTAGTGCATCATGCGCAGCACTTTTACTCGTAAGGCCGAACCTCTCAAAGAACGCTTGGGCTAGAGCTTTGAGGTCCATCAGAGATGCATTTTGTAAAACGTACTGCTGTCTTTCTTCACGCTCCCGCCCGGCTTCAATGGCATGGTGATCAAAGAGTCGCTTGGACATTGCCTAAACAATACACTCTCAAGATTATAAACAAGGGAAAAGGTGAGTTCAACTTAATTTGAATCGCGTGGAAAACCCACACCCTCCTTAGGACTGAAGGTACTGACAAGTAGGGGCGAAAAAGCTAGATCATGAATGGCAACCTTGCTAACTAGAGGCTTTACTCGATTCGAATTCAAGCGCAAGGAGGCAGACCCTTCACAAGTCTGAAGGCGCTGCAGACCATCAATGTCGGGCTATAGACCTTTCCATGATATGGAGTGAAGGACAATGGATCCACGAAACGCTTTGCACGGGATCACCCCGAACGCCCATTGTCCGTCAGCCTATAATCCTCCATCAGTTTGACAGATCCGTTGCTGTAGGAAGTGGAGGGGAAGCGAATTAAAAGGAAGTAAAACCCCAAACCTCACCTTGAGCACTTTCGCGGGCAGGCGGAAGGTGATGAAGAGGTGAGCAAGCGAAATGGATGAGTTAGCGATTGAAAGAGAGGAAAGCTGACGAAAAGTGAAGATGGAGAAAGGTATGAGGGAAACAAGGAGAAAGGTGGTGGAGAGAATAAAAAATACAAAAAAAGGGAGAGAATGGTAAAGGAAGGGAAAGAGAAGGGCAACGATGAGCGTGGTAATGTGAAGAAAGAACGAGGAGTATAGATGCAAACCGGTGATGGGAGTGAGGATGAAGTTGCTGTGGAAGTGATGAAAGAGTGGTGGCAAAGGCAGGACTCATGGCGGATATTTTCTTGGCCCTCTGTATTTCATTTTTCGTCAAAACGAATTTTTCAACCCGCATAAACGAAATCACAAACCCGCCTAAACGAAACTCACTCACGGTCCATACGGACTGCTCTTTTCGTCCAGACGGATTTTTTTTTCAGTCCAGACTGATTGCTGGGACGGAACTCTATTTCCGCCGCAACAGTTGCGGACCTGGCATGATGTGGGCAGGGCTGTTAAGTCGTAGCAGCTTGTACAATGCACTCTTTTTTATGTCTTATTGAAGGCTTAGGCCGCTATGTAAGATTCCCTAAACTTCTCGTAGCTGCTGTGCATAAGCATGTTGAAAAAGTTGGAGGAGGATAGACTAGACTTCCTCGCCGACAAAAGCAACCCTGCCTTGCTGAAAAGACGCTCAGACTCGGACGATGTGGCCTGGACACAGTGGTAGGCACAAAACAATCTTGCCAGCAGGGGTAGGTCCGATTGGACTTCTTTCCAAAAAGCGTGAGGAGTGTCCAAGTAGTCGCCGAATCCAGCAGGATCCTCAAATACCGCCTGGGCGTAACGGGCCAACTCTTGTTCCGCTCTGTACATATATGTGGTATTGCGGAGTCTTGCCAAGGCACCTCCTGCAACGATCGGGGCCGGAACTGGGACCAAGACCGATGCGGGTTGGCTATCTGTCTCCCGCGCCAGGGTCAGCAAAGCCCTTCGTGTGAGACCCTTGGCTTTATCCAAATACTCGGATGGTGCTGTAAACAGCTCTGTGCTGAAGCAACCAGGATTGAGAAACATAGCAACCAGGGTCGCGTTTGGAATCTCTGAGGAGGGGAATCTGGACTTGATCTGAAGCTCTAGATCCTGGTGCAAAGCCCTCGCGGTTTGGGTAACAAGCGGACCAAGTGGGGGAACAAGACCATCGACCTTTGCATAGACGGAGGATATGGTCGGATACTTGGATGCGCCAATAAAATGCGTGAGATCCGCTGCCGGCTTCAAGACATTGCAGACGTCCTGGAAATCCTGCAACTCCTGAGGATTGAGCAGAAGCGGCTTGATTTCCTTGGCTTTGTCTGCGTCCGCTTTGACCGACGACTCAACTATAGACCCGACGGCATCCTCAATCTCCTCTGCAAGCTTCAGAACTCTCAGACCTAGAGTCAACCGCGAGTTCCATCGCGTCTCCGTGGATCGGATAAGCTTGTAAACCTTGTTGCCACGAGATATCTGCTCGTGTTCCAAAGCCTTTTTTGCAGCGCCACAGCCATTGAAAAAGGCAACGATCCTCTCGCATCTCTTGAACATCGCATTGGCGGACTTGGGGTCATCTTCCTTCTGCTTCGAAAGCGCCGTGTTGATGCAAAGCTGGATCGCATGGGCCCCGCAGCAAACCCACGACACCTCCTGTTCCGGCGATTGCTTTTTCTTGTATTCCTCTACACACTTCTTCATATTCGAGGCTCCGTCAGTCGTCATGGAAATCAGCCTCCCCCCCAGCCGCCATTCATTGACGATTTTCTCTATAAAAGTGAAAGAAGTGAGGACATAATTCATAATTCAATAATGGACTCGAAAAACATAGAGCTAATTAACTGCAGCATACAAAAATAAAGCACAACGTACCAACCTCCCCGCAAAGGTACTCGCCACATTGGGGCCTGACCATTAGTGCCATGCCGATCGCAAGCGTCCTCATCTTGTAGTCGGTGTCCATGAAGTGCAGGGTAACTCCCAAAAACTTCCTGTCACCAGTGCTGGTGGTCCAAGAGTCCATGGTGATGGCTGAGCGGTATACGTGGTGTTGAATATATGTCACCATGCCAGTTCTCCAGGTGTTGACCTTGTCGCTGAGAATCCGCTGCAGTGTTACCATTCCTGGAATCCTGTACGCTGGGTTGATTAGGGCGATCATCCTTTTAAAAATGACTGAGTCGAGAGTGGCGTAACTGACGCCTTGTTTGGTGACTAGCGACAAAAGGAAATCCACAAATTGATCCTGCTCGGACTGGGTCGGTGCTTGGAGGGTTTTTAAGATATCTTCACGAACGCCGTTGTATGTTGCGTTAGGGGCTGTTTTTGTGTCCACGAGTATTTGTTGCCATTGATCCGCCAGTCCTTTCGCCTGTATCAGCTCTTGAAACCCCCGAAATGCCAGGATCGCTTTGTAGATGTCGTTATGGTCCAGCTCAATGTGAGTTATGCGCCGGTGCGAACTTCCGTCGGCT